TATTCACACACACTCATACACACTCACACACATGTGCACTCATGCTCATATTCACACACACTTACTTGTACACACATTCACCATATCCCCATACACTCTTGCTCACACATACCCGTGCTCAGAGACGTGCTCACACTCACACATACATGTTCACACACACTCCTACAAACTCACACATGTTCACTTTCCCTCACACACTGCTGGTTTTCTTTTCTTTGAAAGACAGCACATGCTTGGGGTCATTTTGGGTTCAGGTTAACGCAGTAATTCAGGAGGCTGCAGGTCCACACAGGGAAAGGCCGTCGCAGGCGCCATAGTGTTCTCTGAGTGGAGGGACTGCGTGTCTGGAAGTGAGCCCGCCTCCTGCTGAGTGCCCTGTGCAGGGCCGCCTTTCTCCAGGCTGGGAGCACTGGCCCCAGCATGGCCGCTTGCCTCTCAGTTTCGCTCTCAGCAACACGCCGGCCCACGGGGGTCCTCAGGCTCCCTCCACCCTGCCCTGCTGTAGGAGAAGGGCTGACAAACGCGTCTCAGAGCTCGCTCAGTGACTAGCCCATGCATCGCGGGGTGTTCCCGGAGGGCTGGAAGGATGTACGCTCTCACAGAGCCAAGACCTTAAGGCAAAGGACCCAGCCTCGCTAGGCTGGTAGTTGAGTGCCAGGACCTAGAGTCGGAGGAAATGTGCTCAAATCCCAGCTCCCGCACCTACTGCCACTGTGCCCTTGGGCAATACTTGTCTTTCTGCCTCCGTGTCCTCATCTTAAAATGGAGATAATAACAGTATCCCCCTCGTGGGTTTATAGGAGACATTAGTGAGGTCATGGGCTCTGATGCACTGAAGTCAGGGCGGGCGGCAGGTAGGAGGACAAGTTTGCCAGCTGCTAGTAATCAATAGTGGTGGTGGTGTTGTTATGTGCCGTCAAGTCGGATCCGACTCATAGTCGTGACTCATAGCTATCCGACTCATAGCTATCCGACTCATAGCGACCCCTCCTTGGGTTACCCCTCCTTGGGTTTCCGAGGTGGTATCACTACGGAAGTAGACTGCCCAACCTTCCTTCCAAGGAATGGCTGGAGGGTTTGA